GTGCTGTAGTCACCAACGCTCCACCGAGAAACCAACACCGCTGAAGCTCCTGCAGCTAGGAAGGCACGTGCAATGCCGACCACTCCTTCGGCACAGATCTTGCCAAGTCCACTGTTACATCCACTTAACACCACTAAGCGAGCATGTATGTCTTTTTCCATGATATCCTCCGGCTTGAGAAGATAGGATTCATCATCAACATGTTGAGGCGATCCTTCAGGAGAAAGGACGATGGCGGATGGGTCGAGTTTGATGTGGCATGCAAAATGAGCAATACAGACTTCAAAAAGCCTTTCCAGGACAGCTGATTTAGTTGCTCTTGGACCAATTAATGGCATAACACCGTYAATGATACGGGCAATTRTTTCTGCTTCCTTTTGGGATCCTGCCAAGGATTCCAAGCCCTCAATCTGGTCGACAAGTGGATTTCCTATGATAAGGGATCCCGAGCGAGCATAGTAATCATCAGGCAAGGTCTGGTGAATCAACAGAGAGKCTATCGAMGGAGAGAATAACAGCTGTTTATCCTGAGAAAGATGGCGCTTCGTCGTTGGGTTTATCAGAGCTGCAAAAGGTATTAAATACAATAAACCTTCMGGAATGATGACTATSTTGTCTGTGTCGTTTATATCATCGATAACTGATTCAAAGAGCATTTCCGAGAGTCTTTGAATGCTGCTTGTGAAACTTTGTTCGCAATTAAAGTGATTTCCAGTATTACAGGTACATTCTTCATTTTCTGATGATGKTCCYAMAATTTTATTYCTCCYGAMTTTTTTGATKMTGTCTTGATTTAAGAATCCRTTCATTTCWCCAAAAAGTWTTTYWAAGTCAAGTTCAAGGCTCTGTCTGCAGTTTCTGTCAAAGTACATTTTTAGTTGAACAAAATGTTCACCATTTTCACTCACGGTAGATTTGAGTAAAAAGCAATATAAATCATCAAAACACCAAACAAAATATAAAATAGTACATTTCTGATCTCGTATAAATGACTCGATTTCTGCGTATTCAGTCCCMTCTTTCTGATTGTCTTTGTAATTTTGCGCCAAATGTTTGGACAAAAGTTGGAATTTTAGTGCTTTTGCACGACATTGTTCACTTATAATTAACGCATCCTTGCGCCTGTTCTCCTCAATGAGCAGTTTGAAAACCAGTTTCCAGGAATCTATGTAACGATCTGCCAGTGCGATCTGGTAGCCATCAGCATTAATGCAGTTGATACTTTCATCCAAAASTTGAACTGACTGTTTAAGTGTTTTAAGTGCATTGGCATTTTGATTTGAAGCATATTCTATTRCCCCGAATAGTGAAAGCTCGAGCGCCTTGTTGTCTTCCGAATAAARCGTAGATTGACAAGCTGTTTTTAGAAAGTCCAATAAGTCTTTCAAAATCTTGGAGTTTTTTCGTGACTCCACGATGTCGATGTCCTTTAAGTGTACACAGATCCTCGTAATCAGTTTTTGAACAATAAAGACATTTTTTGATAAGATTTCCCTTAAGTAAGGTATGTAATTTTGGGATTGAAATCCGACAATTGTTTGAATGCTTTTAGCGGCGTTTCCTTGAATTTGACTTCTTTTCGTCGATGAACTATCTGAACGCTTTTCAACATAGCCATTTTCATGGTTTTGGAATAGCACATTAAGAGCAACAGATTCAAACAGACTACATCCAACACTTCCAGCTTGATCTAACGCAGAAAAGAAATCCTTAAGAGAAATGGAAGCTTCTTGTTTCTTACTTAACGACATGTAGCACACAGTCAAAGCCAAATGTATGCTCAAAATGGCGTTTTTCTCCTTCAACTTCTCTGCTCTACTTAACGCKCATGTTTTCAATAMATCAACWGCAAGCTTGTGCTCATTTACYATCGTGAAAWATTCAGCTTGCTTCAAATAWGATTCAATCATAAGCTTTCTACTTTTTGTCTTCTCCGCGATTTTTACAGCTTCGCTTGTGTGGTAAAACGCAGTGKCCCTTTCCGAGTCATACARGCTGCGCCAGCCTAGAGCCATCTTACGAATCATTCTCGCTCTTTCCTGAGTGAGGCAAAGGTCGTTTTTGTGGCCGCAAATACTTCTAAAGTAGATGCACTTCTTGCAATATTGTTCRACATCWTCATATTCGCGGAGTTGATAAAGTCCTTCAGCTATATCAAGACAAACTCTCATTTTGGATTTTATGTTTCTGACTTCATTTAGATAACAGTATATGTATTTTTTGCCGCAACGGACAACGTTATTAGGCTGATCAATAGCTTTGAATACATTGATCATGAGCAACAGATCTTCCTGGAGAACSTCATCCTCTCTGTGAAGGCAATGGAAATTGTCGTGTGGTGAAATATTCARTGAAACAGGAAAACGTCTATTCTTTATTTCCTCCAGGTATTCTTTGGTGTACGCTGGTCCCTTATATCTTTCTTCAAAGGCATTATTSCACAATAGCAAATTCTGTCCAGTTTTCCATCCAATCATTTCTTTAGCAGTTTTGTCTAATAGACAATAAAAKTTGTATTTCGAGACGTAGTCACTAATTTCCTCAGCAATATCAAAGGCCTTTTTGTAATATCTCAGCGCGGCAAAATCTTGACGGGTTGATATACATGTTTTTGCTAATTCATAGAAAGCACTCATCTGATACCGTTTGTCTTTCGTCATTGCTATGTTTCGATTGAGTTTCTTGGTATGGCCATTTAGCTGAATTGTTATTAGCATACCGGAGTATAGTATTACAGCCCCAAGAAGATCAGTGATTGAGTTATCCAGCATAGACAATCCATTGGAATTCAATCGCACTAATACTCTTGAAAATATCATCATTGTTGCGAATATCCGCAAAAGGATGTGACTAGGATTTGTTTCTTTCATTCTGAAAGAAAAATAATAATGACAATAACAAAATATTTATTAAACGTATGAAGTTATTGATTAGGAGTGTKTCAAATGAAACCTTGGCTGCTTGGAATCGAATACTAGCAACAATTATAATATAATTATATATGAAATATATATGAAATATTTCTCCATTTCGCTACGCTCACTCGCGAGAGATCTCTTCATCACTCGAAGATAGAATCCGTATCACCGCGCGCCCATGTAATATCCTCTATTTCTCTTATTCATAACGACATGGTTTTCTGCGGGTATGCTCGTTTTCCTCCCTCAATCAACAAACTAGCTGTTAGGAGTGGTCTTGAGTTCAAGAGTATGTTACATAACAGTCTAGGGATACTCGGTGGCGACCCACAGTATCTACACGTAAAATATTTGTATCATTTACTTTTCGTGCGTTTGCGCATGACATCATCAAAAGATCGTTATATGAAATTGAGATCGAAAAGAAACGCCAGTTATATATATATATGTATGACAGATAATCATTATGGAAAGACATTACCAAGGTTTGGTTTCATAAAGTTTTTTAGTTCCCGAGATATTTATGCTTGAATTGTGTCACGCAATAGGGTGCAATAGCAGTCACGTATCCAAGACGAATGAAAAGATTGATATCAATTTGATACTTGGCCTCATATAGTATCCTTRTATCCTTTTTAAGTTTATTATTGTAGAAAATGGTCGAAAATATTCGATTTTGCCTTCTTCTTAGACCGTTAAAGTATCCCCGCCATGTTGGAAGACATGAGTCGTCTTTCAACATGGCTGCCGCATAGATTCCCTTGTAAAGTAAGTATTCAAACGCTTATATTTTTGCTAGAAAATTGCAGTTTGACTTCAAATTTTGCATAACTGTTGGAAATTATATACAGCTTTTGGCCTTGGACATAAAAAATTTATTTGGATCTTGAAACAAAGCTTTTTTGTAAGTATTTTTTGACCAGTCTAAAACGCATTGAGCCGTTATAATCCCATACACTCTTACCACTTTTCGATCGCTCGTAGTTCTGTTAAAAAGCATTATTTTGGCTCACAATTTCGTAATACTCCTTTAAATTAGATGTTCTTTGAGAACAATAATAAAATTTCGCTAATTTGGCCTCTAAATAGCTTTTTTAGAATATCACATGATCATTGCAAACCAAGAATAGCGAACTCTTATAATGTATTTCCTTTGATATCTTGTACTCCGTGCGTTTCTTGACACATTATGTATTTATTGGATAGGGATCTTTACCGGCACTAGACCTACTTCGGGGACTATGTGAGTTGCCGCAGCTTTGAGAGACTTTGCTGAAAATATTTTTCACTGAAACCTAACACCTTGATATATGCGACTAGCAATGCCGTTTCTTTGAGGAAKTACGTACCTGGAATAGTCTTTCGACTCGAGTACCTCAACTACCACAAACTTTCCTCAGTTTACRGTGTAATTTCCAGCTATACAAAGGTGTTGTTGAATGATTAAAATAGCAAGGTCGGAGACTAACGATGCATTAAGCGGAGACTAACGATGCATTAAGCAAAGGAATACAAAATAGAGGTTTCTGCATATTGATATCATATATCTCGGCATGGGTCAATAAGCTGAATGACAGAAGAGCGAACCTACGGTTAGTGA